TAGCACCTATTTTATATCAGCAAATTCAACTGCTTTTGCCATTATTGTTATTATTAATTAATAAAATTAATTTGTGGTTTTAAATAATAAAATTATTTGACATACCTAATGTTACAACTGTTCAAAATTTTATCCACCGACGTGAAAACACATTTGGGTCTGTCTTACTCAGTTTCTACGAACTAACACAAATGTTGTCTTGCTTCACCATAAATTAAAACGATATCCATCACTCCAAGTTGCTATACACACAAGCTATTTTGACACTAACTACTAAAAACTATTGTAAACACCACAGATAACAGGTAAACACTATCGCAGCGACGATTGTAAAATCGGATTTCAGTATTCGGAGTCATTGAGGCCACGTGGGTCTCCATGCGTATTACGAATGACGCTAGAGACTACAGTTGTTAAGCTATGTAATGGTTTCGAGTGGCAGTTGCGACCCCTAAATTTTTAAATGAGAAGTTTGATCTTATGATACCTCATTTGAAAAGTATTTTCATTGCCTATTCAAAAATGCTATGGTTTTAATATTTATTGCAAAAATTAATGGTCTGCTTAACGAAATTTGTTACAACAAAAATATAAAAACAGTGTTTTGTTCTGCCACTCGTAGGGGGTTGAATTTAGGGATGAAATTTTTACGTTGCAGGATGTCGTTTCAGAATCCAAAATCGACGTGTCTCGGGATTTTTTATAAATATGCACAATAATTGAGATACTGAATTTATTCGCCATTTGGCTGTTCCACACAGTATATATTAGGAATATGTATTTTATATTGATACACTTAATCTAAATATAAGTATAATTTAATATATTCTGAACGAAATATATAATGATAAACAGAACATACAAAAATTTGTAATTATTACACCACCAACCCACACCAAGTCCATACGAATTTGTTTGCTTTCAAGTAATGAAATGTGCATGGCATCTCACGAAAAATATTTACTTATATCCGAGCCCGTCATGGGATAAGTATTTCTTGGTAAGTACCAGTT